CGCATCTGAGAAGGGAGGCTCCTTGCACACTAGAGGTGTGATCAGCCTTGGGACAATAAAAAGAAGATTGGTACGTAATTGCTTAATTTATTTTAATTTTCAAAGTATATCTATTCTGTTTATTAACTAAAATTTATGAGTTTTCAGGAAAAGAAGTTGGGGCTTCCAATGAACCAAGATGAGCTATTCAAGGAGACTCATATTGTAAAGAAGAAGAAAAAGAAGAAGAAGAAGAAGAAAGAGACGGATCAAGAAACGTGGGTCAATGGCCGAGCCTCGACTGTACATGTAAGTTTTCACTTTTTATTAAGTATTTTGATTTACTTTTATATAAATTTTGAAATACTAATTTAATGTAATTTTTCTTATAGGGTCGCTTCACAACTGATGTGGAGGAATTCATACGCAGTCAGCCACCTAATGAGTCGGGCGAGCCAATCCAACCTTCGGACAAGGATGCTGAAAGAATGTGGATGGAGGCTACTGGCGGTCCAAAATGGGGGAAGGTATACGGGCTTCCTACTAAGAAATTGCATCGCTATAAGTGTGGAATGCAAGGAATAGCGACTTCCTCGCAAGGCGAGCGACTTGATGGGGAGAGCTTCTCCGCTATGTGGGAGACTGTGAAAAAGCTCACATCCGAGCTAGAAGCGGCCAAGGAAAGAGAAAGGCTTAGAAATGCTCATCACATTGGCATGCAAGCTCAGTACCAAGGCATGCAAGAGCAGCTCAAATCTCTCCTAGCTTCTGGTGGTTTTCCGATTCCTCAGTCTCGTGAGTCATCGCCAGAGGCTCAACATGAACGTGAGTGTTCCTTCCGTCCTCCCCGTGATCGTTCTTCCCGTCCTCGACAAGTAGACCCTTCTGTATACCGTCTTGTTGATGAAAGTTCATCAGACGGTGATGATACTGCTGTTGTACAAAACCTCCTTGACTTTTATATACTTTGAACTAGACAAATAGAACCGGTTTTGAACTAGGTGTAATAAGCGTTAACTTAGTTTTATTAGTTTAATTTGTTAGTTCTATTGAACTTTAATTTGTTGGTTTTAATGTGTTTATTGAATTGTATTGTTGTTGTTGTTGTGGAGATTTTGGTATTGAAATTATAGTTTATGAATTGAATTATATTGTTATTTAGGAATTTTGGTATGCTGACAGGTGGTGTAGCTTCCAAAACAGGCATTTTATGCCAAAATTATTACCCAGAAAAGCGACCAAAGTTGTTCTCTAACCTATTAAAAAAACTGGCGATTAGCGACCAAGGTTGGTCGCTAATAAACCCAGATTTTATTTAAAAAAATCCTGGAGATTAGCGACCAAAGTTGGTTGCAATTTATAAAAAAAATTAAAAAATTAAAAATAAGCGACTAAAGTTGGTCACTTATGAACCCAGATTGTTAAATATATATTTTTAAAAATAATATATATTTTAATTTACAGACCAACGTTGGTCGCTAATTTTTTATATATAATAATTTAAAAAATATCGTAATTTAAATGTACAGACCAATGTTGGTCGCTAAATTTATAATATTAGAATATATACCGACAAAAGTTGGTCGGTATTTTGTTTACAGTGAACATTTGGTCATTTTACCTTAGCGACAGGTAAAGGGACCACCAATATAGCTACCAAGCCTGTTTGGACGCGTTTTGGTTGGTATACTGAGATAAGCGATCAAAATTGATTGCTATATGTGATTGCTTTTTACCGAATTTCTAGTAGTGTTTTATCAAAGACGAAAGAGAAAAACATTAGAAATATGTTTCTATTGACTTGACCCTACCAATTTACAATAAGATCAAAATTACCACCTACTTAGAACCAAAATCAAGTAAAGAAACACAAAATAAACAGCACATCTAAGACCTAGAATATAGCTAATAGTGATGGGTCTTACCAAGAAGGGTTGTAGTGGAGTGGTAAGTACTCCTTTATTCTTAATTAGAGGTCTCGGTTCGAGCCCCTGGGTATGGAGTCGCGTTTGTTAGGGAGCGCTTTACCTCCAATATGGGACTTTCCGGCACGAATCTGGATTTAGTCAAGTCCCAATGTGAGTGTCGAACACCGGGTGGGAAACCAAAAAAAATAGTAATGGGTCTTGAATTCATGTTTTTACTTCACTTTAACATTGATGGGTTTTGAATTTATAAAGTTACTACATTGTAACTTCCGGTTTCGCATCTTATTATTTATCACTTTAAACTTAACAATTTTGTATAACTACACTTTCATAAGTTATTTTAAAGAGATTACTATCATTTTGAAGTTTTATTTTGATCTGAAAAGAGAAAAGAAGGGAACAAGTTCTTATTAAAAAATTAACGTTATTTTAGCAATTGAACTGAAGATACAAGTAGCTAATAGTCTAGTGCTATATCCTTAAATTTCAAATATTAAACTTGTATTTCTTTAGCCAAAGTAACAAAATAAATATTTCTTTTCGCGGGGTGGGGCTGGTGCGGGGGCGAGGGCAAGAAAAATGCTACGTGCGGCGGGTTTAAATTTTTGCGTTTTTATGTCTCACCCTGCACTGCCCTGCCCTGCCCCGCCCCACTGCCAGTCATGAGTACCTATTATCTCCTACATTATTGGATAAATTTTGTTCATCAAAACTTGATCAAACTATAAAATAAAAAACTAATACATTCATCTCCGCTATAATTTAAACATGAAACATCATGCGTGTGGTCTCAACCCAACCACTAATTTTACCGTTTCTCAAAAGATAATTAGCTAAAAATGGCGGCGAACGAACTTTAGTTGCATGTTAAAGATGGAGTCCTTGATTCCGCGTGATAATTATTGATATACTAATATCATTATTTGACGTAGTTATCAACATCTACTTAGTAAAAATCAAATCAATGATAAGGTTCAATGATTAGGACAAGTTTTGCCTTTTTAGGCATTTTGGGTCAATTGTAGTTGTCGCTCTCAATTTGTTTAAATATACATATTTCACGAGTGAAAGAGATTTACAATTGGGTTGCCATCTATGCCATGCCACCATTAATCAAAATTATATTCTCGTCGTTGCGAGAAAATTACAGATGTTGAAATACGAAAGTTACTTCATTTTCAATTGAATCATTAATTCCTTCCCTTTTACTGAAGTAAATTTTACAAAATTTACAACTTACGCACGGCTATCATAAATCACGATTAATTTTAGCTCTCAAATTTTGACATCAATTCCGTTGTTTTAAAAGTAAAGAGTATAACATATCTTCAACTTACATGAAAATTCTTTAACAATGCTTGTAACAGTAGTGCTAATAATATGAAATTTGGAGCAATATAATGAATAAATACTCCGACATTTTGCTTTATTCTCTTTATTCCATCTTATACGATATTGTTTCCTCTTTTGTTATTTAAAAAAAAGGTTGTTTACTAACTATCGCTTTTGCTTTGCATCTTTCTTCTTAATTTCATATTGTTCCTATTTTTCATATGATTTCTTTGCTGATACTAATATTGTCTCCTTTCTGTCTTTTTGTTTCTTGAGCCGAGGGTCTTTCGGAAACAGCCTCTCTACCCCTTCGGGGTAAGGGTAAGGTCTGCGTACACACTATCCTCCCCAGAATTAGTGGAATTTTGCTGGGTTGTTGTTGTTGTTTGTTTGTTTTTATTATTTAAAAAAGCATGACATATACGCCTTCCGTCACGATTTATGTGATGAAATTTGATTTGGCACAGAATTTAAAAAAAAAATCAAACTTGTGATTTTTAAAAAATTTAAGGATAAAAACTTTGTGGGATCATATCATTTGTATGTCTACAAAAAACTTCACATTAAAGGTTATTTTTAAAGTTAAAGTATTTCAAATATATAAATAATTTGATAAAATATCATTCTTTGTGGAATTGACTAAGAGGGAAAGCATGGTAAAATAAATGGAAGGTAGGGGTGTCAATGACTCGGTTCGATCGGTTATTTTATAAAATTTATACCATACCAATTTTTCGGTTATTCTATTATATATAATCAAAGTTAAGACTTTTCGAAACCGTCTCAATCATGTCGGTTTCTCTTCGGTATTAGTATGGTTCGGTTAATTTTTGGTATTTTTCAAAATATCATGTAAAAGTCACTAGTAGAAGTTGAATGCAATAACATATTATACGTACTTTTATACAACTTAGCAAAACTCTCTAAACCTTTTTACTGTTTAATGGATGGATTAAAACAATATGAAAGATAGATAGAGTATAGATCCATCAACTATTCTACAGCAATGTTAAAGAAAATTAGCAAAGACAAAAAATATATATAAATCACTCGAATGAAAATATATTAACTAAGTTGGGACTCAAGAATAAAATCTATAGAAGATTAGATATTCAAAAGATAAATCTAAATCATATGAAATGAAACGCATTCAATACATTGTAGTTTGTTACTCATAATCACTAGAATATTGTGTGTCTTGTTAGTGAATATGCTGGAAATATTTTAGTTTCAGGAGGAGTAATATAATAAGTTTGAGAATTAGGATTTTGAGTTTAATTACTTAGTAGCTTGTAACCGTTTTCATAATTTCAAAGCCCAAGGAGAAGTTTAATGCCTTATTATTTTTAAACTTAATGTATAAATATATTTCTGTATATAAATTTATTCGGTACGGTTCATTACTTTTTCGATTTATTTTCATAAAATTAAAAATCTACCCTAATTATCGGTACGGTTATAGGTTGAGTTGATTTTTAAATATTCATTTATACGTAGGACTACTTTTGTTTTTGTATATAAATATGAAAGAAATCAGAAGTCACTGTTTGACGAAGTTATGGACCGCGTTCTGTTCATCTACTCTCGGAGTCTCAGTCAACTCTCTGTCGCAGTACTCCTATAAATATGGGTCTCGCCCCTTCAATCTTCCATTAAACTCTCGAAGAAAGCAAGAAACTTGTTGGATAAAAACAACAAACCCCTCTTATTTTCACCTATAATATTCTTTCTTCCTAAGTTTTTTGTACAACAAGTAAAACAATGAGGACCCCCTTTTTCTCATCATCAAAACCTTCAACCCCTTCACATAATTCATCATCTCCTCACACCTTTTGCGAAACTCTATTGGATGAAACAATAGAAAACGCTGAATTAATTATCGAAAAATGGGACCTTGATTCCTCCTCTGTCTCAACCACCTCTTATAACAGAGTCGCTAATCTCTTCCGTGATAATCCGTTAGAAGCCAAGCAACTTCTTAACGCCGTTAACGACTTACAACATGCAATGCAGTTTGTTATCAAAGACAGTGCCAGCTCTAAACTTCTAGTTCGAGCTCATAATCTCATGCAAATTGCCATAAGAAGACTTCAGAAAGAATTCTACACTATCTTATCAGGGAGTCGTTACTTTCTTGATTCCGAAACGGTGTCGTCAAGATCCTCAAGATCATCCACTGCCACCTTATCAAGTCTTTCAGATGAAGATGAAGTTTCTGAAGATAATAATAATAATAGTGAAATTGAAAAGGTCTCAGAGGTTGTAATGGCGGATTTGAAATCCATTGCTGATTGTATGATTGGAGCTGGTTATGGAAAAGAGTGCGTGAAAATTTACAAACTTAATCGAAAATCAGTCATAGATGAGACTTTGTATTACTTGGGAATTGAAAAAGCGATCTCTTCACAAATTCAGAAAATGGATTGGGAATTATTGGAGATAAAAATCAAGAATTGGTTGAGTGCTGTTAAGATTGCAGTTACTACTCTGTTTCACGGTGAGAGGATTCTCTGTGACTATGTCTTCTCAGCCTCAGACAACATAAGGGAATCCTGTTTCTCGGAGATTGCTAAAGATGGGGCTTTGACTCTGTTCTTGTTCCCAGAAATGGTGGCGAAATACAAGAAGTTATCACTTGAGAAAATGTTTAGAGTGCTGGACGTCTACGACGCCATTTGTGAGCTTTGGGTTAAAATCGAATTGATTTTCTGCTTTGATTCAATGGAGGTAGTCAAGTCTCAGGCGATGATATCACTGGTCAAGCTCGGCGATGCCGCTAGAGCCATGTTGTCGGAGTTTGAATCGGCAGTTCAGAAAGACACGTCGAAGGCAGTGCCAGGTGGCGGGGTTCACCCTTTAACTCGATACGTCATGAACTACCTTGTTTATCTCGGCGATTATAGTGACGCAATATCTGAAATAATAGTCGATTTGCCGATTTCATTACAGACATCATTGCCGGAATCATACTACTTGAGCATGACAACAGAAGACGGGGACCCTCCGCCTTCTGTTGTTGCCCTACGGCTTGCATGGCTCGTACTCGTCCTTTTATGTAAACTCGATGGTAAAGCACAACTTTACAAGGACGCGGCACTATCCTATTTGTTCCTATCGAACAACCTAAACTACATCATTTCGAAGGTTCAGCAATCGAATCTAAAGCTCCTACTTGGATCCGATTGGATTTTAAAACACGAAATGAAGGTGAAAGAGTACATGTCAAAGTATGAGAGGATGGGTTGGAACAAAGTGTTGATGTCATTACCTGAAAATTTGACGATTGATATTTCATCGATGGAAGTGAAGGAAAGGTTTAGCGAATTTAATTCGAGTTTCGAGGAGGTATATCGAAAACAAAGTTCATGGGTCATACTCGACCAGAAACTCAGAGACCAAGTCAAAGTATCACTAGCTAACAAGCTTGTTCCGAGATATCGGACTTTTTACGAGAAGCACCGAAGAGAATTGGTGAGGAATGTCATTGGAATGGAGTCAACTGTTAGATTTGCCCCTGATGATTTGCAAAATTACTTATCGGATTTATTTCATGGTGCTAATGTTTCGGTTTCTAGTATGGGATGGAGTGGGACATCTTCGCCGTCCGTATCAACGTCAATGTCATCCTCAAATCGAAGCCGATAAATAAGTGCATATATGAATTTTATGAGGTAAGAGAGGAGTTTGTGTATACAAAACAAATGTTTTTGATTTGTAATGTATTAGTGCATCGAAATGTTACGTTGCAAATCGGGAATTGCACAGACAAATTTTAAACTAAATTCATTTGTTGAATGAAAAGGCATGAGAACTTGGTTCATGTTGCGGAATATCGTGGGTTAACTAGCACACAATCACACACAAAGCAAATAGAGAAGAAAAATCAACACAAGATTTAACGAGGTTCGACTAAGCCTAATCCTTGGAACAAAAGCAGAGAGAGTTTTCCACTATGAATGAGAAGAAAAACACAGTACAATCTCTAGGATCCCCAACTACAACCCTTATATATAGATCCCAAAAGGTCCAAAACATATAAGAGAAAGCTTTCCCAATTTGACAAGGACTATAGGTTTTCCTTTCCCAAATCTATTAGGACAATGGGTTTTCCTAAACCTATAGGGATTATGGGTATCCTAAAAATACAAGAAAATAATTCAAGCCACAAAATAACAAATCTTCCCCTTGGCTTGAATTCTCTTCATCAGCAGGAACGTCTATCGACCTTGCCCTCAACTCTCGCAAGTACTCTATCCATTGCCGCACCCATCAATCAAGTCTAGGCAACGCCTAAACTTGTTAAGAGACTCAATCTCTTTAGCCATAACACTAATCCGTCGATATGTTTTTATACTCTGAATAACTTCTGAGTAGCTATAACACTCAAATGCATCAACGGTCTCAGCAATTGCCAAAGCAAATCCCACTGGATTCGTATATCCAAGAAGATTCCCATCAACTACATTTGCAAACCTTTGAGGTCGGTTGATCACTCTCTTCTCCCTGCCTGTTGCAATGCTATATGGTTGTTGTTGTGCAGATGCATCAACATTATCATTTTGATCAATATTTTGCACTTCCTCCACTTCCTCTACTTTAGAACTACTGGGCTGAGCTAGTTGAGATTCAATTTCAAGCTCTATGCGGTCACTAACACCACGATCTGTTTCTGCTATTGCCTTCTCACTCTGACTGTCCAGTGAGGCAGATTCACTGAATGTTACATCCCTACTGATAATTAGCCCTGAAGTCTTTTAATTTGTGCACCACAACCTATAACCTTTCATTCCAGTTGCATATCCTAGAAATATGCATTTCTTTGCCCTCGGCTCAAGTTTTCCATCCCTCCTATGTTGTCATCCTCATCGCCGATAAATATGTACATTTGAATTTTATGAGTCAAGAGAGAAGAGTTTGTGTAGATAAAACAAATAATTTGTTGATTTGTAATTAATCTAACTTCATTTGTTTAGTGAAAAGGAATGAGGACTTGGTCCAAATCATTGTTTCTATTATAGATTTGAGTGTTTTGGATTGTTCTATTATTATGGTAGTTAGTACCAATAGTTGCGAATGGATGAGTAGTTGACGAATTCCAATAGAAATTAAGGTCACCAATTCCAAACATACAATAACAACTTGAACAACTCCTATAATAAAACAGAACGTGTTCTTTTCAACGGGCCAAAAATAAAGGTCGTCTAAACTATAAGGACGTCATTATATTATTCATAAATATAAACGTCACTATGTTAAGGATTGTATTCACGTGTATTTGTATTGATAGAAACAATACAACGTCTATATCTTTTACTGTATACACCACTAAATATCATAAATTTTCATCCTTTCACTTGTTAATCCATAGCTCTTCAACCTTCCTGAAAATACGGGAAACGAGACTTTCAACGTATAGTGTGATGAACCACCATGTCATCATGCCACATAGGTGTCATTTGACATATATTAATGTCATATGGAAGTTTACATAGGCGAAAGGCTAATATTTGTTAGAAAATTCTAGAGAAGTATGGACATTTCCTTAGAAAGACCCTAGATCCCTATGGATTTGCTAAGAAAGTCCTTGGAATCTTCTAGGTTTGTAAAGAGTTCTAGAGAAAGCCTTATCTTGTAAATATTAAGGACTTGTATAACAATTAATATTTACATACTAGCCCCTAGGATACTAGATATAAAGGAGGTTGTTCATATGTAATTCACCAAGCAAACAATTCAATTTCTCTCTAATACAAAGTTTCCTTTAATAAATTCTCTTGTATTCTTTCTAGACAAGAGGGGTTGCTCTGATGGTAACCAACCTCCACTTCCAACCAAGAGGTTGTGAGTTCGAGTCTCCCCAAGAGTAAAGTGGGAATTTCTTGGAGGGAAAGATGTCGGGGGTCTATTTAGAAACAGCCTCTCTACCCCAGGGTAGGGGTAAGGTCTGCGTACACACTACCCTCCCCAGACCCCACTAAGTGAGATTATATTGGGTTGTTATTGTTGTTGTTGTTGTTGTTGTTGTGTTCTTTCTAGCATTCTCTTAGCGATCTTGAGTGTAGTAAGGTTGACTTGGCATAGCAAGAACGTGATCAAGTTGTGCAAAATCATGAGCGAGTTGTCAAGTGTCGCAAGTATACTTAGTTAATGACTAAGGACGTGACAACGTGGTATCATACCAAAGGTTGCAACTAAGGGAAAGGCGAACGAGGGAGAAACTAACACTGCCAACTCCCAAGCCAACGTCATCCGGGATGTGCTGGCAAGAAGGGTCGTAACAAAAAGACGAATGCCACTAACAAGAGCCAGTATATGCCACCCGAGGTTGTGTCAAACGAAGGGCTTACATCCCAAGAACAATGTGTCACTGAGGCGAAGGAGGATGAAGTGGAGGTCCAGCCTGGGTATGTCTCCCTTAATAAAGAGTAGGAAATGATGATGAACGTGAGGATGGATGCCATGGAAATCTTTGGCCAAAGTTTGGGAAAGGTTGAAGGCACCCTTAGCGTTCTTGAGAGGCACACTCTTGAAGAGATTGAGAGTATCTGAAATGACTTGGAGGAACGTACAAAGACCGAGATAGAACTAAGGCAATATATCACCGCCTTAGTGTGTAGACTCATGGAGGCTTTAAGTACTATCGATGCTACAAAGGCAAAGATAGAGACACTCGAGAATCATGTCGATGCTGGCGTGACTGAGGTAGCCATCAATGTTGTGATGACAAGGGAGGCCAAAATCGAGGCTTCCAAACCACCAATGTTTAAAGGTGTTCATGATGCACATGAAGTGAAAAACATCCTTTGGCACTTGGAGAACTACTTCATGCACGGCAAAGTGAGGGACGATGAGCCAAGATCAATATTGCGGTGTTGTACCTCTCAAAGACGGCCATGCTATAGTGGAGAAGGAAGATGGACAACGTGAATAAAGGTCTATGTACTATTAGCACGTGGGATCAGTTCAAAGTCGAGTTCAAGTGACAGTTCTTTCCAAACAATGTCTTGTGTGAGGCAAGGCGCAAGCTTAGGAAGTTGAAGCAAACATGGAGCATACGTGTCTATGTCAAGGAGTTCACTACCCTTATGCTTCAAATCCCCAACCTAACCAATGATGACTTGTTGTTCCATTTCATAGACGGGTTGAAAAATTGGGCTAAGCAGGAATTGCAACACCGGCAAGTCACAGATATAGACCAAGACATAGTGGAGGTCGAATCATTGATGGATTTCAGGAATGACAAGCACAACAAAGGCAAAGGAAAAGAGTCAAAGTTTAACAATGTCAAAAGTCGGGGAGACCATGGAAAAGGCAAGAAGATACAATAATAATACTACAAGACTCAAGATTCCAAAAAGTTGAGTGGACGTAAGGGCTACACCAAGGAGAAGGCATAGACCGAGAAGAAGGGATTCTACATATGTGGAGGGTTGCACGACTTCAGGAATTGTCCCGACTTAAAGAGCCACAGTGCCATGGTCCATAATGGAAGGAGTAGCCACAAGGAGAGAATTTGGGAACCGCACAGTTGGGTTTTGTTCCATGTCCAATCCACACTCAATAGTGAGTGGAAACGGTCATTGGAAGAATAGTACCAAACAAGAGTCGGGGTCGATTTCCACAGAGAGCTACAATAAGTGTTAGGGGTATACACTTGACGAAAGCAAAAGGAACAACTAAATTGCACTTCCAAACAATTGGTTTTGATTTCNTCAACTATAACAACTCAAGCATGTAAATAAATTAAGACCCTTTTCTCTTTCATTTTCGTAGAGATAATTTTAATAGAAAATGTAGGTACTTTAGGATTATCCCGATAAAAATAAATGAGATGAGCCTCGCCAAATAAAACGCACAAATTGCGGGGCCCTCGATAAATGTTTAATTAAAATTACTTAGACTTCGGGATGAGCCGTTTAGCAAAATTCCACGGCCTTACCCAGAAATAATAATACGATAATTGCTTCAGGCGTGCATTTTAATAATCTTACCTTCTTAAATTCGGGTGCGCATTTATGTGACCCAAATCCAAATCTCAACGGAGTCGGAATGTATTAACAACCATGGGCGCATTGATTTTGACATGGTTCGAAATGCATTTTTACAATGTCGCAATTCCATAAAAAATAAATAATAATAAAAGCGGTTTTAAACTTAATGAAAGCACATAAGTAATAACATGTAATAAATCAGATATCTAGCCATTATAACAATTTAAGCGACCGTGCTAGAACCACGGGATTCGAGGGTGCCTAACACCTTCCCTCGGGTCAACAGAATTCCTTACTTAGAATTTCTGGTTCGCAGACTTCATTTGGAAAGTCGAATATTTTCCTCGATTTGGGATTTAAGATAAACCGGTGACTTGGGACACCAAAAGTCAAACCTTTACCAAGTGGCGACTCTGAATTAAATAAATAATCTCATTTCGAATATTGTCACTTTAATTGAAAAAACTCCCTCGCGCATTCAACCCTTCGGGGCGGGCGCGCAAAAAGGAGGTGTGACACTAATTCTACTTTTACTCTAGCAATTATAATCTAAGAAAAGAAACTAGAAATGAATGATTGTTATTGATGCTTTTTCAAGTAGTTAAAAAGCCTATAGATGTGACCTTAACCTAGGTGTTCGCCTAATGGGTCATA